ACGCTCTACATCACAAATAGTAGTACGAAAATCGGAGTGAGTCCCAGATGCGCACATTGACAAACGGACACATCCAATCATATGTCGTTGTTTATAGAGTCTCTAGAATATCTCTAGGCATATGGCGTTGTGGTTGGATGTGATAAAAACGAAATAAAAACACAAATATTTTCTACAAAACTATTTTTTATTTCTCATCAGTTGCATATCCATTGCATAAACAAACGATACATAATTAAATGATGATAAAATAAACGGTGCACATCATTCTGTGTTCAAATAAACAGCAAACAACTGAACAATGTCCAAGTTAACGGTGTCCAAATGAACAGTGCGCATCCTTCTGTGTCCAAGTGAACAGTGGGCGATTGAACGGTGTCAAGTGAACAGTGAGCGATTGAACGGTGTCCAAATGAACGGTGTCCAATTGAACAGTGTCCAAGTGAACTATGTCCTAATGAACGGTGTCCAAGTGAACAGTGTCCAAATGAACGGTGTCCAAGTGAACAGTGCGCATTTTTCTGTGTCCAAGTGAACAGACAAGCAATTCCACGGTGTCCAAGTGAACGGTGTACAAATGAACAGCACACATCGTTCTGTGTCTAAGTGAACAGTGGGCAACTGAACGGTGTCCAAGTGAACGGTGTCCAAGTGAACGGTGTCCAAATGAACGGTGTCCAAGTGAACGGTGTCCAAGTGAACAGTGAGCATCCTTCTGTGTCCAAGTGAACAGTGGGCACTTGAACTGTGTCCAACTGAACGGTGTCCAAATGAACGGTGTGTAACTGAACGTCGTACATTTTCTTTCGTGTCCAAAAACAACGGTGCCCAAAAGTTTCGCGTCCAAACGCATCGTGTCCAATTGAACCGTGTGTCAAGTGCCGTGTCCATTTGCACCGTGTCCATTTGCAACGTGTCCAATTGTACTGTGTCCAACTGAATGCAACTCGGTTGTGAGGGCGGAGGTGTTGTTCCCTTCCGCCCTTCTCGGTCAAGAGCCTCCTGACTCTGGGAGGGGGGTGAGCGGCCTGAAAGTCCGCCCTTGCGGACCGGCCGCCCTGCCTCCCTCCCGGAGGCGTCTGGTCTGACTCCTTGATCGTCTTGCGACGCGTCTCCCCCGCCTTTCCAGGCGCCTCCTATCTCTCCCAGGCCGGGCTGTCCGTTGATCAGAAGGACCCAGCGGCATTGTTGGGGGCGGCGGCGCACCCGCAGGTACTTTGGGGGAGGGAACGCCAGCGGTAGAGTCCCCTCCCCGCCCACGGGTGCGCAGTCCCTCGATTCCGCGCTGATGCGCGGGTAGGTGAGGCGCCGCCCTTCTCCTCCTGGCGACTTCGCTCCTCCTGACGCCCTCCGCCTCCTCCTTCTGTGCCATCACTGCGTCACAAAAGGAGGTGACGGTGGACCAGCCCTCTCTCCCCCAAGCATGGCCCTGAAAAGGCCCGGGGGAGAGAGGTCCGCTCACACCACATCTATTAGGACTCGGCGCTCCACAACCCAAGAGGGGCATTTCTCCAGGGTGTGTTGCTCCGAGTCTACCTCAGCACCACAGTGGTGGCAGCGGGAGTTAGGCTCCCTACCAAATTTTTTCAGGTACTTACCGAAGCATCCATGTCCGGTGAGTATCTGCGTCGTCCGGAAGGACAGCTCTCCGCAGGCACTGTCTACCCACTCTTGCAGGCGGGGACGGATGGCCGCGACCCACATTCCTGATCGGTCCGTCGCCCCCTTTAGGTAGATGCTCCACTTTAGGAGGAGGCGTTGACGGGCCTGCGCTTTCGCCATTCCAATGGCCCTAGCCAATAGGTCTCGGCATGCATCTGTGCAAGGATCTTCAGCGGGGGGAGACCGGCCAAGGCCGTGGCGGCCATATGCGACGCCGTCCTATAGGCCCGGGCGAGGCGAATGGCGACCCACCGCTGCAAGCGGTGTACCAGCGCAGTGATACGCTGGCTAGTCGCCATCGCACTCGCCCAGACTGGGGCCCCGTACAGGGCCATGGACTAGACGACGCCGGCATACAGCCGCCGTGCTTTCCTTTTTGGGCCGCCGAGGTTGGGCAAGAGGCCACCCAACATATTGGCCTACCCAACTTGGGGGCCAGAAGCTCGAAATGCTTCTGAAACCCCCATATACCATCCAAGACGAGTCCCAGATATTTTATCGTGGGACCCGTCTTCACGGAAACACCGTCAATCCGGACACGGGCCCCAGGTGGTCCCCTCCTAGAGCCATCATGCATGTACATGAGCTCGGACTTAAAGGGAGCCACCTTGAGGCCCATTTTGTTCAGTGAGTCTATCACCTGGTCTACCGCCAGACGTCTCATTTCCAGGGCGTCTTGCCAGCCCTTGCCCCCGACCAGCACCATCGTGTCGTCCGCGTAGCAGACTACGCTGCAGCCGGGGGGGAGGGCAAGGCGGAGGACTTGGTCGTACGCCATGTTCCATAATAGGAGTTCTAGTACGGACCCCTGAGGAACACCGCGGTAGACCGCCCTTCCGCATTGGAGTTCCGTTTTGTTTGCTGAACTCCAGTCTTCTATCCCGGAAGTAGTCCCTAATAATTGAGACCAGGTGGGGGAGCCTGAAATGGGCCAAGCCCGCCTCCACCCATCTCAAGGGAGGGAGTTGAATGCGTTGGCGATGTCCAAGGACACCGCCAACACGACTCCCTCCCCCCCCCTTCACGACGGCCTCCGAAAGGGACCGGACGCGTAAGATCGCGTCCACGCTCGACCGTCCCTTCCGAAAGCCGTACTGCTCCTCGTTGAGCGTTGGACTACTCCGGGATAGGTGCCGGACGAGGCAGGCGTGTATAATCCTTTCGAATAACTCGCCCGCCTCGTCCAGAAGGCATATCGGCCTATAAGCGGAAGGGCTCTCCTCGGGCTTGCCCCCCCTTTCTGAAGAGAACCAGATTGGCCCTCTTCCAGGGGCCGGAGAACACCCCGGTCATACAGGAGGTGAAGAGTCGCATTACGCGACTCTTCACCTCTGCCTCCTTCATCGCCAAGGCCCACACTGTGCCTGGGATACCGTCAGGGCCCGGCGCCCTTTTCTTGGCGCCAAGTTTCCTGGCGGCCCTGTCCACCTCCACTTCGGTGACCCCGACCGACTCCTCCTCCACGTCTGGGAGGGGGCCTCGTAGAGAAGAATACAAGCTTCCCCCCATGAAAAGAGGGCCCCCACCATTTCATCGAAGAAGTCGGGGTACAGGGACGCCGTTGGAAAGGGCGCCCAATTGCGCAAGTGCCTCATCACTATGTGATAAGGGCGCCCCCATGGTTCCCTGTCGATGGAGGAAATCAGATCATCTCAGGCACGGGCCTTGGCCGTAAAGATGGCCGCCTTAAGGGCACCCCGCTTTTTGCGGTACGCCCCCTCGGCGGCCATCCTGTCCGCATTGTCCCTTTCCCGCCGGTCTTTGCCTGGCTCGGCCGGCGGAGCGCCAAAGTTCCGCGATTTCCACCGACCACCAATACACGGACCTGCGGGGATGCGGCCGGGATCGGGGCATGACGGCGTCAAACGCCACCGTCATCACCCCCACGATTCCGGCCGCCTCAGCTTCAATGGCGGCCCGGGTCCCCGGTGTGGGGCCCGGGTCTACCCATGTGGCCGCCGTTAGGGCGGCCGCTAACCTGTCGCGGTCGAGCTTACGGAGGGCCCACCTTGGTGGTCGGGCATCCTCCTGACCGCCTCAGGAGCACCTCCTCGGGGGTGGCGACCAGTCGGGCCACGATATATCTGTGGTCCGGAAAGTTTTCACCCCTGGTCACCACCCGCCAATGCTGGATTAGTCGGGCCGCCAGAGGAGACGCTAACGTGACGTCGATCACTGATCTCTCCCGCGGCCCGACGAAAGTGCTCTTCCGGCTTCTGTTAATTACACAGAGGCCGTGAAGCGCGAACCATTTTTCCACTGCCTCGCCCCTTCGGCACCTGGCCGAGAACCCCCACAACGCCGACTTGGCATTGAAGTCCCCGGCTACCAGGACCGGCCTTTGGGGGCGCCACGACATGAGGTCCCCCGGCCGGTCCAAAAGGTGCTCGAAGTAGGCGAGGTTCCATGAGGGTGGGGCGTAAATCTCGACCACATCTAGGGCCCCCCACTCAACCGCGACGTAGCCTCCCCCCTTCTCCACAAGGAAGATTGGGGGGAAGGCCTCCCCTTCTTGATGGTAAATCGCCACTGAGCACTTACCACCCCGCCCCGTAACGTCACCCATTATGGCTGGGTGACTCCCGAAGACGGAGTGAGGCTCGGAAGCGATCCCCAATCCACAACCGTGCTCGCAGACTGCATGAACAGTTCCTGGGCTCCGTGAGCGCGGTTGAGGTCCGCCTGGAGGAGGCGGATAGCCATTATGGCTTAGCTCCGCACTCCTCCAGGCCCTCCCCTATCTTCTTCGCGAGAGAGGGGCCCTCGACTGGGTTATCCCACTCCCGCGATGCGGTTCTCTTACCGGCCCCGGTCCCCCGCGGTATCCTTTGCTTCTTAGGGGCAGGGTCCGCCGGAGAGACCGGGGTCTCAGCTACTGGAGCCTTCCCTTCTGGTAGTGGGGGAGGCTTTTTTCCTTTTCTGGGGGTGAGATGGGAGGGGTGTTGGAAGCTTTACGCCTCCTTCTCCCACTCTTCCCCCCTTTGCTCCGCTTAGCCATTTGGCAGGCGGGGCCTCCCACTCTATGGCCACGGAGCCGCCCGGCGTCGCGGCATACCGGGCATGTCGACGGTGCGTCGCACGCCGTGGCCCTGTGGCCGGCCGACCCGCAGTGATAGCATAGACCACTGCGGTCGGCCTTACTCCTGCAGGAAGCCCTGACGTGGCCCCACTCCAAGCACTTGAAGCACTGGAGAGGGCGACTGCTCAGGGCCTCCACACGGAGAGAGGACCATCCAACGCGCATGCGTTCTCCGTTCTCAATCCTCTTCGCGACCGCGAGGGGACACCGTAACCATAGTATCCCCATGCGGTCGGATCCAGGGCGGATCTCCCCGGCCTTAATCTCCGGGCCCGCAGCCCCCGGCGATCGCCACCGCGGAAATTACGTCCTCCGCGGCGACTGCGTCGTCCAGGTCGCGGACCCGGATGTCGGCCCTCTTCGTGGGACGCGCTATTCGCACGTCCCTTTTGTCGGCGAAGAGGACTGACATTCTGTTGGCCAGGGCGTCCGCTTTGGCATGTCCTTCTGGATCGGGGACCTCGAGGACCAGCGCGCCAATGACAGCCCTTCTGGTCCTGAGATCCCCGATCCCTAGTTCTTCCAAGTCTTTTTGACTCCTCGCCCGCCGCATCACGTCGGCGTAGTTGCCCGCGGGGCAGCTCACCGTAATCGCGGCGGCGCGAGGAGCCTTGGAGAAGGCGAGTTTATTCCCGCCCGCCGCGCCTCGGGAGTTCTTCCTGTCCTTGTCACCCTCCCTGGTGGCGACACTCTGTTTGGGTCGCGGCTTTTGGGGGGCAGGTTGGTCGGGGGGGAGGTTTGTTTGGGCCTTCCCCTCTCTCTTTCTCTCCCTCCTCCCTTCCACCTTGGCCCAGGATTTGGACTCAGTCGTGGGAGGAGGGGAGGGGTTGTGGGCCCCCGAGGACTGCGGTTTCGTAGTTTTGTTTCGAGGGGGGGGGGATTTCCTCCACAGGAGCAGCAGGGGGCGGCCATTTCCTTCTGAGACTGCTGGTCGCCCCCGCCGCTCTTCTTCTTCTTTTTCCTTTCCCTGGTCTCCTCCCCCCATCATTGGGGGTGGAAGTCGACGGGGACAGGTGCGGGTGCTAAGGGGCCGGAGAGACGGAGTACGCCCCGCCCTCCGCAGCCGCCCCACTCCTCTCTTTTTTGGTGGTTTTTTTAGGCCGTGCGGGCCGCTCCCCAAATAGTTCGGGGAGCTCAGCCTGCAGGGCTTCAACAATGCGGGGAACTAAAGCCGACACCAACGGCTCTAGTTCCCCGCTGGTCGCCTCTGTCGTTCCGGAGCCTCGTCCCGTATCCGTACGAGTCCTCCGCTCGTCCTTCGACCGCGTCTGCGGGCGCGTTCCCCCGTTAGCTGTCGCCACCGCCGCAACATTACTTTTCCGGCTCTTAGAAGGCCGGTTGGCTTTTCCGCCGACTCCAGCGCGCGCCTGCAGTGGTGAGGCGCTTCCCGGGGGGGAGCGTCCCCCCGCGATGTCGCGCGCCACCTCCACCCGGCACCGTCTCCCGATCTCCGCCTCCTCGGGAGTAAGGGCTCGACAAGTCCGGCGGCCCTCCCCGTCGTCATCTCCTCGTCGCTGGAAGTGGAGGGGTGTCGTTGGACTGCCCTTTCCTTTTTATTACCAATGGGAGAGGGCGGGAAATCTTCTACCGGGTATCCCGCCCTCTTTCTCTTCCGGTCTGCGGAGGAGTCTCTGCTGTTAGGACCCCTCCGCAGCCGTATCCTGGAGCTGTCGCTCTCAGCCCCATCCACCTCCATGGCGGACGGGGCCTCGTCTCGCGGCTCACTGGAGGGGCCGGGTCAACGGGTCCTCTCCAGCTCTTGTATGAGGCTTTCGATTTTTAGGCGGAGCAGCGCCTCTTCCGCCCTAAGGCGTCCGCGCTCCTCCGCATCGGCCGCCGCCTCCCGCCTTGCAGCCTCGCCAGTGCCAAACTCATCGGCGTTACTGGCCTTTTGAACTAGGGCGAGGCTGCACGCGGCCATTCTGGCCGCCGCGCTCCAGAGGGCCCCCCTATAAATCCCCTTCAGTTTCCGGGATCTCTCGGCAACCTTTTTGTTCTCGTCCATGGCTCTTAACGCCATGGACGAGACCTCGGCCGTCTGTTGCGACCGAAGGTCGCGAAGGATCCCGACCCGCTCCTTCTCTATTTGGAGGGCCCTCTGGGACGAAGGCCTGACGGAGGGATCCGCTATTTCCGCCGCCAGCGCCTCATCCCTCTCCAGCTCCCCCAGCCTGTCGCTCCGGACGACCAGCGTGCTGACCCCGTTGCTGGAGCCAGCACCCGGCCACCCGCCCGCGACTCTGCTTGTACGCCGGCGCGCCAGAGACGAGAACGACGACCTGGTTCGGCCGCTCCCAAATCAACATCCCCGCCGCCCCGGCCCGCCGCCGACGTGGAAGCTAAGGCCTCGCTGGGCTTGCCGTCCGGAAGGGAGATATCTCCCCTCCCCCGGCGGCCACACGCCCCCAAGAGACGGACCTCGTCCGTCGCTCACCCACGTCGCGGGGCCGCGTGAAGGAGAAGGAGGCCTTGACGGGCACCCCATCCCCATCCCCCCTCGCCTCCGCTTACCGACACCCTGTCGGCTTCTGACTGAGGGCGGCTGATAGTAGGCACGCCCTCCTCCCTATCCTCTCGCGAATCTGCGGCTGCAGATTCACGTGGGGCTACAGACGAGCCTGTGAGCCCCGAAGCCATCGGTGACCTGGTGGTCTCTCCCTCCTCTACTACATCGATGGGTGTAATGTCCATGAGTAGTTTTTCCCACCAACCCTGATGGCTCGCACCTCCGGCGTATCTTCCATCCCCCCCCCCCCC